CCTGCCGTGTTAGTTAACAGGGGGGGCCTGCCGTGTTAGTTAACAGGGGAGGGGCCTGCCGTGTTAGTTAACAGGGGGGTCTGCCGTGTTAGTTAACAGGGTGGTCTGCCGAGTTAGTTAACAAGGGGGGTCTGCCGTGTTAGTTAACAGGGGGGGCCTGCCATGTTAGTTAACAGGGGGAGCCTGCCATGTTAGTTAACAGGGGGGCCTGCCGTGTTAGTTAACAGGGGAGGGGCCTGCCGTGTTAGTTAACAGGGGGGTCTGCCGAGTTAGTTAACAAGGGGGGTCTGCCGTGTTAGTTAACAGGGGGGGCCTGCCGTGATAGTTAACAGGGGGCCTGCAGTGTTAGTTAACAGGGGGGGCCTGCCGTGTTAGTTAACAGGGGGGGCCTGCCGTGTTAGTTAACAGGGGGGGCCTGCCGTGTTAGTTAACAGGGGAGGGGCCTGCCGTGTTAGTTAACAGGGGAGGGGCCTGCCGTGTTAGTTAACAGGGGGGGCCTGCCGTGTTAGTTAACAGGGGGGCCTGCCGTGTTAGTTAACAGGGGAGGGGCCTGCCGTGTTAGTTAACAGGAGGGTCTGCCGTGTTAGTTAACAGGGGGGCCTGCCGTGTTAGTTAACAGGGGGGCCTGCCGTGTTAGTTAACAGGGGGGGCCTGCTGTGATAGTTAACAGGGGGCCTGCCGTGTTAGTTAACAGGGGGGGGGCCTGCCGTGTTAGTTAACAGGGGGGGCCTGCCGTGTTAGTTAACAGGGGGGGCCTGCCGTGTTAGTTAACAGGGGGGGCCTGCCGTGTTAGTTAACAGGGGGGGCCTGCCGTGTTAGTTAACAGGGGGGGCCTGCCGTGTTCAGTCAGGCGCAGTCACAGCGAGAGGTTGTGTTAGCTGGGGCTCCGATTGTAGTAATATTATAGCAATAATGGAAGGATTAGTGAAGGAACTGATGAATCTAGTTGGAACTCTGAGAGCAGAGGTCGATTCCCTAGGAGAGGAGGTACGACAGCTGAAACAACATCGAGAAGAAACGAAGGAGACCAATATTAACAAGACCTCGTCGTGGAAAGTCGTTAAGGACAGGGGTCTTAAGAAGACCTTGACAAGGCCGCCTACAGACGCCCTAAGGACATCAAATCCATTTGCCGTGTTGGAAGACGAGTGCTGTGGTGAGCCTGCAGTTCACTCGAAACGGAAATCAACGAAGAGCAACGAAACACAGGCCCCTCAAAGTGCTCAGAAAGTTAAGGAGGCACCTAAGCGAATTTTGGTTGTGGGAGATTCCCAGGTGAGGTACTTAGAACGTTTTGTGCTAGAGATAGGGGGAACAGGTTAAGGGTTTACTATCCCGGAGCTGGAATTGGTGATATTATAAACAACATGAATGATATTATGGCTGGAAATGGGAACAATCCCATTATTTGTATTAGCGCCGGAGCATATGATGTTGGTCGAGTTAGGAGTGAGGAACTGATTCGGAGGTATAAAACAGCCATAGAATTAGTTAGCAACAAGGGAGGAACCCGATCATATGTGGCATTCTTTCGAGAAAGCTAGTTGGAAATGAATGGATGTCGAAGGCACTTGGTGTCAATTGCCGGCTGAAAAGATATTGCAAATCAAATGTGATATCTTTCATAGATAACTAGGAACACTTCTATGGAAGAAATGAAATGTATGCTCGGGATGGGGTTGTTGCAGTTGTTGTTGCAAACTCGTTGGAACCAGTGGTTGGAGGCGGTTGTTTGGGTTTAAACTCATTAGTTCATTTATTATGCACCCCATACCCATCTTGTGGGGTTTAAACTGTTAGTAGATAGTGGTATGGGAATTGATAGGGAGGAAGGAGGTAATAAAAGTATGTGTTTGTTGGAGAAACAAATTGGAAAATGATCAGGGAAAGAGAAGGGCCTCAAAATAACAATTCACTCAGGGTATATTACACTAACAGTAGAAGTCTAAGAAACAAAATAAACGAATTAAATGCTCTTGTCTGCACAGAAAAAATAGATATTATTGCACTTACCGAAACGTGGATGAATGTAGAAAATAGAGAACCATTAGCTGAATATCTAATAAATGGATTTAAACTATTTCACACAGATATATTAGACGAGGAAGAGGAGTAGCCATATATGTTAGGGACAATTTGGAATGTAGTCTCAAAGAGGGAATCAAAACTGAGCCACACATAGAAACTATTTGGATAGAATTAAACGAAAAAGCAAATAATCTTATAATAGGAGTTACATATAGGCCATCAAATTTAGACAGAATGGAAGCACAACATTAATGGGATGAAATATCTAGAGCATCTGGGTCTAAAAGTATTTGTGTCATGGGTGACTTTAACTTTAGTGGAATTAACTGGATTAACAGAACAGGGAATAACGAAGCAGAAGATTTTATAGAATTAATTAACGATTGTTTTCAACGCAACACATTAAGGAACCAACGAGGGAAAATAATATTTTAGATTTAGTGTTAACTAACAGGGAAACACAGATTAATGACATAGAAATCGGGAGTGAACTAGGGAACAGTGATCACAAAGAAATCAGATTTAGCATAGAGTGGAATAGATCTGCAGGAGAAAATTCTGTTAAAGTGCCAGATTTTCGTAAAACTAATTTCAATATCCTAAGAAATTTTGGGGGGCAAATAGATTGGAAAGTCTTGGGCATAGGGGGCGGGGGGCGTGCCTGTCTTGGAACAAGACGTGAACCCACCGATGTGTGATGTAAAGGAGGATTTCGATTTGGATTCTAAATATAACTTATTTACAAATATTCTAAGCAAAGCACAGATAAGTAGTATACCTTACAAATAACAAAGGATTGGTGGGGACGTGTGGGTGGGGACGTGGGGGGTTTGGACGTGTTGGTGGGGACGTGGGGGGATCTGGACGTGTTGGTGGGGACGTGGGCGGTCTGGACGTGTTGGTGGGGACGTGGGTGGTCTGGACGTGTTGGTGGGGACGTGGGTGGTCTGGACGTGTTGGTGGGGACGTAAGGGGGGGGGGGCTGGACGTGTTGGTGGGGACGTGCAAGGGGGGGGGGTCTGGACGTGTTGGTGAGGACGTAAGGGGGGGGGGGCTGGACGTGTTGGTGGGGACGTGGGGGGGTGGGGACGTGGGGGGGGGGGGGGACTGGACGTGTTGGTGGGGACGTGGGGGGGGTCTGGACGTGTTGGTGGGGACGTGGGGGGGGGTCTGGACGTGTTGGTGGGGACGTGGGGGGGGTCTGGACGTGTTGGTGGGGACGTGGGGGGTCTGGACGTGTTGGTGGGGACGTTAGGGGTCTGGACGTGTTGGTGGGGACGTTAGGGGTCTGGTCGTGTTGGTGGGGACGTGGGGGGTCTGGACGTGTTGGTGAGGACGTGGGGGTTTGGACGTGTTGGTGGGGACGTGGGGGTCTAGACGTGTTGGTAGGGACGTGGGGGGACTGGACGTGTTGGTAGGGACGTGGGGGGACTGGACGTGTTGGTGGGGACGTGGGGGGGGTCTGGACGTGCTGGTGGGGACGTAGGGGGTTCTGGACGTGTTGGTGGGGACGTGGGGGGGACTGGACGTGTTGGTGTGGACGTGGGGGGTCTGGACGTGTTGGTGTGGACGTGGGGGGGTCTGGACGTGTTGGTGGGGACGTGGGGGGTCTGGACGTGTTGGTGGGGACGTGGGGGGGTCTGGACGTGTTGGTGGGGACGTGGGGGGTCTGGACGTGTTGGTGGGGACGTGGGCGGTCTGAACGTGTTGGTGGGGACGTGGGGGGTCTGGACGTGTTGGTGGGGACGTGGGGGGTCTGGACGTGTTGGTGGGGACGTGGGGGGTCTGGACGTGTTGGTGAGGACGTGGGGGTTTGGACGTGTTGGTGGGGACGTGGGGGTCTAGACGTGTTGGTAGGGACGTGGGGGGACTGGACGTGTTGGTGGGGACGTGGGGGGGTCTGGACGTGCTGGTGGGGACGTAGGGGGTTCTGGACGTGTTGGGGGGGACTGGACGTGTTGGTGTGGACGTGGGGGGTCTGGACGTGTTGGTGTGGACGTGGGGGGTCTGGACGTGTTGGTGGGGACGTGGGGGGTCTGGACGTGTTGGTGGGGACGTGGGGGGTCTGGACGTGGGGGGTCTGAACGTGTTGGTGGGGTCGTGGGGGGTCTGAACGTGTTGGTGGGGTCGTGGGCGGTCTGAACGTGTTGGTGGGGACGTGGGCGGTCTGAACGTGTTGGTGGGGACGTGGGCGGTCTGAACGTGTTGGTGGGAACGTTAGGGGTCTGGACGTGTTGGTGGGGACGTGGGCGGTCTGGGGTGTGGGACACTGTAGGGTCTGGCAAACAGCAGACTCTTAGCAGTAGCTCAAGCTACACTCACGTCCATAATACACCACGTGTTGTGTGTCAACACGACACTGTTGTTGACACACCAGCTGGTGTCAGTACTCAGGCGACACCCCGTGTTGACACCACAACAACTGGTCCACATAATGCCGTTGACACAAACATGACCAAAGGTACCACGCCCCAGACAGCCATCAACAGGTGCTGCCCACACACACACACACACACACACACACACACACACACACACACACACACACACACACACACACACACACACAAAATTAGACAGAGACAGTAACACTGGCAGGCTTGTACGGCCCATGAGGGTCGAGAGACAGGACGGGGGCGAGTGAAAGAACTCTGACAATAGAGCAACTCTCATGGACGGTTGAAGACAAAGTGCAGGTAGCTAGAGACAGGGACAGACAGACACAGCCAGAGACAGACAGACAGACAGGTAGGTATTACCTGGCGCCTGCTGGCACAGCGTGCCTGGAAAGAGAGAAAACATCCACAGCAGTTAGAGTCGGGCGCTGAGAATAACAAACACTGAAAAAAGAATGAAGATAAACTTGTTATTTTAATAATCTTCTGCACTTTCGTAATACATTCATGTTATACAACTGATGATAAATGATACCAATATATATATCTTAGTGTAGTGCCCTTCGTAATGTGGCCATGACGACCCAGCAGCCTGTGGCCATGACGACCCAGCAGCCTGTGGCCATGACGACCCAGCAGCCTGTGGCCATGACGACCCGGCAGCCTGTGGCCATGACGACCCAGCAGCCTGTGGCCATGACGACCTGGCAGCCTGTGGCCATGACGACCCAGCAGCCTGTGGCCATGACGACCCATGTGGCCATGACGACCCAGCAGCCTGTGGCCATGACGACCCGGCAGCCTGTGGCCATGACGACCCAGCAGCCTGTGGCCATGACGACCCGGCAGCCTGTGGCCATGACGACCCAGCAGCCTGTGGCCATGACGACCCAGCAGCCTGTGGCCATGACGACCCGGCAGCCTGTGGCCATGACGACCCAGCAGCCTGTGGCCATGACGACCCAGCAGCCTGTGGCCATGACGACCCAGCAGCCTGTGGCCATGACGACCCAGCAGCCTGTGGCCATGACGACCCAGCAGCCTGTGGCCATGACGACCCAGCAGCCTGTGGCCATGACGACCCAGCAGCCTGTGGCCATGACGACCCAGCAGCCTGTGGCCATGACGACCCAGCAGCCTGTGGCCATGACGACCCAGCAGCCTGTGGCCATGACGACCCAGCAGCCTGTGGCCATGACGACCCAGCAGCCTGTGGCCATGACGACCCAGCAGCCTGTGGCCATGACGACCCAGCAGCCTGTGGCCATGACGACCCAGCAGCCTGTGGCCATGACGACCCAGCAGCCTGTGGCCATGACGACCCAGCAGCCTGTGGCCATGACGACCCAGCAGCCTGTGGCCATGACGACCCAGCAGCCTGTGGCCATGACGACCCAGCAGCCTGTGGCCATGACGACCCAGCAGCCTGTGGCCATGACGACCCAGCAGCCTGTGGCCATGACGACCCAGCAGCCTGTGGCCATGACGACCCAGCAGCCTGTGGCCATGACGACCCAGCAGCCTGTGGCCATGACGACCCAGCAGCCTGTGGCCATGACGACCCAGCAGCCTGTGGCCATGACGACCCAGCAGCCTGTGGCCATGACGACCCAGCAGCCTGTGGCCATGACGACCCAGCAGCCTGTGGCCATGACGACCCAGCAGCCTGTGGCCATGACGACCCAGCAGCCTGTGGCCATGACGACCCAGCAGCCTGTGGCCATGACGACCCGGCAGCCTGTGGCCATGACGACCCAGCAGCCTGTGGCCATGACGACCCAGCAGCCTGTGGCCATGACGACCCAGCAGCCTGTGGCCATGACGACCCAGCAGCCTGTGGCCATGACGACCCAGCAGCCTGTGGCCATGACGACCCAGCAGCCTGTGGCCATGACGACCCAGCAGCCTGTGGCCATGACGACCCAGCAGCCTGTGGCCATGACGACCCAGCAGCCTGTGGCCATGACGACCCAGCAGCCTGTGGCCATGACGACCCAGCAGCCTGTGGCCATGACGACCTAGCAGCCTGTGGCCATGACGACCATGACGAGCAGCCTGTGGCCATGACGACCTAGCAGCCTGTGGCCATGACGACCTAGCAGCCTGTGGCCATGACGACCTAGCAGCCTGTGGCCATGACGACCCAGCAGCCTGTGGCCATGACGACCCAGCAGCCTGTGGCCATGACGACAGCAGCCTGTGGCCATGACGACCTAGCAGCCTGTGGCCATGACGACCTAGCAGCCTGTGGCCATGACGACCTAGCAGCCTGTGGCCATGACGACCTGGCAGCCTGTGGCCATGACGACCTAGCAGCCTGTGGCCATGACGACCTAGCAGCCTGTGGCCATGACGACCTAGCAGCCTGTGGCCATGACGACCTAGCAGCCTGTGGCCATGACGACCCAGCAGCCTGTGGCCATGACGACCCAGCAGCCTGTGGCCATGACGACCCAGCAGCCTGTGGCCATGACGACCCAGCAGCCTGTGGCCATGACGACCTAGCAGCCTGTGGCCATGACGACCCAGCAGCCTGTGGCCATGACGACCTAGGAGCCTGTGGCCATGACGACCTAGCAGCCTGTGGCCATGACGACCTAGCAGCCTGTGGCCATGACGACCCAGCAGCCTGTGGCCATGACGACCCAGCAGCCTGTGGCCATGACGACCCAGCAGCCTGTGGCCATGACGACCTAGGAGCCTGTGGCCATGACGACCTAGGAGCCTGTGGCCATGACGACCCAGCAGCCTGTGGCCATGACGACCCAGCAGCCTGTGACCATGACGACCCAGCAGCCTGTGACCATGACGACCCAGCAGCCTGTGGCCATGACGACCCAGCAGCCTGTGGCCATGACGACCTAGGAGCCTGTGACCATGACGACCCAGCAGCCTGTGGCCATGACGACCCAGCAGCCTGTGACCATGACAGAGCCTGTGGCCATGACGAGACCAGCCTGTGACCATGACGACCCAGCAGCCTGTGGCCATGACGACCCAGCAGCCTGTGGCCATGACGAGCAGCCTGTGACCATGACGACCCAGCAGCCTGTGGCCATGACGACCCAGCAGCCTGTGGCCATGACGACCTAGCAGCCTGTGACCATGACGACCCAGCAGCCTGTGGCCATGACGACCCAGCAGCCTGTGACCATGACGACCCAGCAGCCTGTGGCCATGACGACCCAGCAGCCTGTGGCCATGACGACCCAGCAGCCTGTGGCCATGACGACCCAGCAGCCTGTGGCCATGACGACCCAGCAGCCTGTGGCCATGACGACCCAGCAGCCTGTGGCCATGACGACCCAGCAGCCTGTGGCCATGACGACCCAGCAGCCTGTGGCCATGACGACCCAGCAGCCTGTGGCCATGACGACCCAGCAGCCTGTGGCCATGACGACCCAGCAGCCTGTGGCCATGATGACCCAGCAGCCTGTGGCCATGACGACCCAGCAGCCTGTGGCCATGACGACCCAGCAGCCTGTGGCCATGACGACCTAGGAGCCTGTGGCCATGACGACCTAGGAGCCTGTGGCCATGACGACCCAGGAGCCTGTGGCCATGACGACCTAGGAGCCTGTGGCCATGACGACCCAGCAGTCTGTGGCCATGACGACCCAGCAGCCTGTGGCCATGACGTGTCGTCCTTTGCAGATGACACAAAAATCAGCATGAAAATTACATCTGCTGAAGACATTGAAAAACTACAAGCAGATGTCAACAAAGTTTTCGATTGGGCAGCAGAAAATAACATGATGTTTAACAGTGATAAATTTCAGGTACTCAGGTACAGCAAAAATAAGGATCTGAAACATAATACAGGGTACAAAACACAATCGTATCTTCCCATAGTAGAAAAACAGCATGTCAAGGATTTATGAATAATGATGTCCGACGATCTAACGTTTAGGGAGCATAACCAAGAAAATATTGCGTCAGCCAGAAAAATGATCGGATGGATTACGAGAACTTTCAAATCCAGGGATCCCATCACAATGGTTGTACTCTTCAAGTCACTTGTGTTGTCCCGTCTCAAGTACTGCTCAGTACTCACTTCCCCCTTCAGAGCCGGAGAGATTGTTGAAATAGAGGGAATGCAGAGAACATATACGGCACGCATAGATGAGATAAAACACCTAAATTATTGGGATCGTCTCAAAGCTCTCCAAATGTACTCTCTAGAAAGGAGACGAGAGAGATACCAAATACTGTAATATACACATGGAAAATACTGGAGGGCCAGGTCCCAAATCTACACAGTAAAATAACAACGTACTGGAGTGAACGATATGGAAGAAAATGCAAGATTGAACCAGTGAAGAGCAGGGGTGCCATGGGCACAATCAGAGAGCACTGTATAAACATCAGAGGTCCACGGTTGTTCAACGTCCTCCCCAGCGACTATAAGAAATATTGCCGGAACAACCATGCACATCTTGAAAAGAAAACTGGACTGTTTTCTAAGAGAAGTTCCGGATCAGCCGGGCTGTGGTGGGTATGTGGCCCTGCGGGCCGCTCCAAGCAATAGCCTGGTGGACCAAACTCTCACAAGTAGAGCCTGGCCTCGGGCCGGGCTTGGGGAGTAGAACTCCCAGAACCCCATCAAGCAGGTATCAAGCAGGTTAGCATAAGGTGGGAGATGTCGAACTTGGCGCCTCACCTCAGGAAAATCAAACGCTCCCGGTACGTCAAGTTGAGGATGGCTGACTCAAGCTTGAAATGTATACACGCATGGGAAAAGGTAGGTATACACTGCCACCGCAATTGAGGCAGCGAGCCTGGGGAGACGTGCACTCCGACTTAAGAGTGACCTTCGTCCCCACACAAAGGACAGAGATAGACAGGCCTGTAGCAGCGGAGGACTCCATGCCCAAACCTCCAGCACTTATTACAGAGCCGAGGAGAGGGAATATATTCCTGGACAGAGCACGTGGCACCAGCAAGAATGACAGAGGGTGGAAGGGTCCTACCATCAAAGGTAATCTTCACAACCCGAAGGGGTTGATGGCGACGACCACGAGGGGGACGAGTAAACGTGTCTACCTGGAGGACAGAATGGCCCTGGGCCTCAAGGATATGCTGAATATCTTCGTGGCAGTCCTGCAGATTCTGAACACTGGTTGCAACATGGAGCGGGAGGAGAATAGTGCCAACACTAGCATTCAACCGAGCGTTCTTTGAGACGCTAACAGGGGTCTCGCCTAGGCAGGATAAGGCAGCCAAGCGGGAGGGTGCATCCTGAGAGGGAGCAGCAACGACACGTGTACCGAGACGAGTGGGGTTGAAGGTAACAGAGGCATCCACGGAATCTACAAGATGCCTATGAATGGAGAAATCGTCAGGAGGCGTAGAATCAAGAGGGAGGAGATCAAAGTATTTGGCCCACGAAGCGGGACCAAACAAGGCCTGATAGGCAGCAGAACGGGAAGGAATCGAGCGAGTGCGACTGTGTGGGGACGGCGTTGAGAACCCCCAGAGAGGGGTTAAAAGGTGCAGTAGTTACAACGAGAGACTGAGCCGTGCCAGAAGACGAGGTGGTCACCACTGGGGCCCCCACACCCACCATGGAGCCACAATTAGAGGCAGGACACCCAACAGGAAGCTATCGCCGATCTTGCACGGGCCCTCTAGGGATGCGTCGTGAGAATACGCCCCACAAACGCCACCTTAAGACCCGTCAGTCCGTCGAGATCGGGTTCAGTGACAAAAGGAGGATTGGCAATAAAAGGGTCCCCTCGCTCTCGACGTTGGGTACTACAGTTCTACGGGTGCAAGAGTATGCCTCCTCAAAACACCTTGCCGTCAAAACAAAAGAAGGCCAAAAGAATGAACAAAACAGGCACAAAGTCAGCGGGAAATGACAATCAGAAAGGAGAAGAGGGGGGGGGGAAGAGAAAAACGAAACAAAAGGAAAAGGTGTCCAGCAAAATTTGTGAGGACAGCAGCAGGAGCATAAGGCCACAAAAGGACAGAGGACTGGCCCATGGAGCATCACACTCCGGCAGCCGCCCACCAAGCCTTCTCACGACATCAACGAGCTGGACAGGGAGGGGGTTCCACTGCTTAAGTTTTTTCTTCAGGGATATTCCTGTGTCGGCCCTAAGTTTGTGGCTGATCCACTAAGTGTTGCTCGTTTCTGTTTTACTTGGGCGGAGTGTGAGTATTTATGACTTGTATGATCATAAGATTTAGACCTTAAGATTCTAAAAATCTTCACTATTATTTTCTTAAATGTGTTTAACAACTTCAACTACTCTGTTGAATCTAAGTTGAAATCTTATTGGGTTTGTAACTGTGCACTGTGTTAGATAATGTTCCAGTGGTCTGTCGGGCATTTCTCCACAGTGCTGACATTTCCTCTCATCTTCCAGATCCTGTAAGCCTATTTCCTGTGCACATGGGACTGGTGTATGAGGCTGCTCCGTGGGGTTACTGCACGAAGGGTAAGGTACTAGGAGCTGGAGCAGTGGGAGGAGGGGAAGCTTGTGGAGGTTGTTGGGGTCGGGAGTTCTTGCAGTTACATGGGGAGGACACGGCGGCCCTGCGACTGTGATGACAGACATATATGGGTGGAGGGAGGGGTAGAGAAGGGCATGTCGGTATGTGTGTGTCTATACTAGACAACATCCTCAGGCAGGATACAGCCCACATCACCTAACTCCTATTTAATACTAGGTAAACAGGAGTATCAGATGAAAGGAAACTTTGCCCAAATGCTTGCGTCCTGCCACGGGAACCGAACCCACGATCCTCGATTGAAAGTCGAGGAGGTAACCCAGTGCGCCAAATATGAAAGTGTGATGACAAGAAGGGATGACCTTCTCTCCTATTAGGATTTGATGGATCATGTTCTCTTCTGGTGTCAGCACAAGACTGTTCTTACGAGGTCAGGACCACATGTCCTCCCCAACCTGCTCTCACGTTGGTAAGAACCTACACTACACAGGTTTCTCCAACTGCTTAAACTTGGGCATGAATGTCGTTCACTGGCGACAGTGTTCACTGGGGAGTGTGTTCACTGG